TTGATCCTTCGAGTAAAAGAAGATATTTGATAATGATTTTCGTTACGTTACATAAACTATCTACATGTCGCTCATTACATAACTGTCGTTAAGATGATAGTTAACTGTTTGGAACAGTAATATAATGAACGAAGACTTCGTTTAAACATATTTATATATTTAAAGAATAAATAAATCATTCAACCTCAGTAATAAACGAAAAGTAATACGGAAAAATTACAGGTTCGCCTGAAAACTAATGAATTCTCATGGCAGAAGAAACCGTTACCTGTGATTCGTATACCTTTTCTAAAAGGAATTTTTTTTTCATTTCGGAGTTTCGTACATTATGCTCTCACTATTTGTTAATACGAAACTAATTCATTTGTTGTGAAAATCGAAAGTTTATAAAATGGAATTTGTCGCCACAGTGCACCGCTCTAACGAAATCCAATATCGACGAGAAAAGTTTATTAGACGACAAAGTTACATCGTTTATTTTCCGCTGTACAATTCTACGGTATCCTTTAATCGGCAACTTGAATTGTTTTTGATTTCAGATCCGAGGACCATCGTTTTGCCGTTAATGGAATCGCCCATTCTCATCCCGACTATCCTCGCCTCGTATCTATACTTCGTCTTGAAATGCGGGCCGAGGTACATGAAAGACAAAAAGCCGTACGATCTGAGGACTTTCGTGAAATACTACAACATTTTCCAAATAGTCAGCAATGGCTTGTTAGTGCAACAATTATTATCAGCAGGAGTACTGACAGAATTCTCAGTGATCTGCACGCCGTCGAATTATTCGTTTGATCCCAAGCATGTAAAGGTATTTAAAGACCATCTTTTACTGTGTAGATGTCAACATGAAACCAGATACTCGAAAATTAATCGATGCCAAATACCTTTTAAAATGACGCGTTCTCTTTGAAAGTGAACGAAATCTTCTCGCGAGGCTTCAACTTTTGCGACAACTTAGGAGGATTAGTGTTGTGTACAATATGTGTACAAATATTTTGAAGAAAATAGAATGTGTCACAGGGGGGAATATAATGCGAGGAATATAGCTAATATCTTTCACAGCTGTTTCGTTCTAAGCTTCTAATGGAAATTTAAATAATACATTTTACGGTCCTTTACAACTTCCAATAACTATCGCATGAGTTTGAATACCGACCGAAATGACGTTGATTTAGCAAATGAAATATTAATTGAACTTGTGACATTTATCATAGAAATGTACAATCGAAATGATTGTGACTACTCGTTGTATAAGTCACGCTACCTTATGTTTTTGTACTTGCTACATTACAATGTTTAATATTTATGGATAGACTTAAAAGAATTGATATCGATATTAGACATTGACACGTTTGGTTTATGCATCGCTCTGCCGGATTGTCCAACCAATTCGTTTGTGTCACTGATGATGCAAGGTTTGAAAAATCTAATTTATAAGTTGTTTCATGTAAACCAAGCCGTACATAATTTTCGCCGCACAAAATCACGACCAAATGCACTGCAAAATTTAATTCCATTGATCCGCAGCAATCTTCACGAACTGTATGTACATATTCGTAATTCTTAATTATTAGGATAAAAAACGTAATTTCTCGTGCATGTATCGCAGCATTATACATTTGTCTCAAATGAGCAAGCCAATAGTACTTCAGATTCATATTCATCGCAACTGATATAAATTCGAATCTGAAATCTAAATAAAAATATGCGGATTAGGCTATGAAAAACAACAAAAATTGTGAGGTCTAGAATACTGTATCTGTGGTACACACGCATATACGGTAAAGAAAACTCTACACATCATTGGTTACATAAAGTTTTATTTAGTTTTAATATAACCCTATCGTTTGTTGCAGATTGCCTACACGTTCTGGTGGACGCTACTTCTGAAGCTTGTCGACTTGATCGAAACAGGCGTATTCGTGCTGAGGAAAAAGGACAGGCAGATTTCCTTTCTACACATATACCACCACATATCGACGGTGTTAATTGCTTGGACTATCGGAAGATATACTGCAGTGATAATGGCCTCTTTCACGATCGTGGTGAACTGCTTTATTCACGTGATCATGTACACCTATTACTACTTCAGCGCAATGGGAGACAAAGCGCCGAAAATTCTGAAGAAGTTAAAGCCACTACTCACGATAATGCAAATGGTAAACAGAAATCGTCGATCAACGTTTCTTAATATCTTTCGCTGATAGTACACCGACAAAAAGCCTTCCATACGCTGGCTCATAAAAGTGTTCGTAAAGCTTCTAAAACACAATAACTACTTTAAAACTGTACTAACTGACTTGAATTGTTTTTAGATGATAGAGAAATTAGTCTACAACACGATGACCAAAACGGTTTTCTCTTTTAGTTTTGCTATTACCTGGAATGA